GAGAGAGAGAGAGAGAGAGAGAGAGAGAGAGAGAGAGAGAGAGAGAGAGAGAGAGAGAGAGAGAGAGAGAGAGAGAGAGAGAGAAATGTGATGTGGGATCAAATCTGATCCTACATTGACAACAAATAAATAAAAAAGGGCGTTGAGCTCCCTCATTAAAAGGGGAGCTCAACGCCCCAATTTGCATCCCAGGGCAGGGAATTAGAAGCCTCAGGCTTCATTATTAATGAAGCCTGAGGCTTCTCATTTTAATTAACAACAACAACGTTAATTTTTTTTTAATATATAAGGGCGTTTTGGGCTTTTGCCCAAAACGCCAAAGAGAAACGCTGCTATATGCAGCGTTTCTAAAATCAGCGGTTTGGAGCAATCCGCTGCTCCAAACCGCTGTTAACTAAACAATGGCTTTGTCAAAACGCCAAAGTCGGTGGATCCGCCAAAATTTTGGCGGATCCGCCAATAACCAAACATGCCCATTGACTTATCACACTAACAGTTGTCCAAATCTCTTGAAGTAGATAAAAGACCATTTAAACTCGAAGAAGAAAATGAGGACAATTTAGGACTGGGAGCCCATTAATTCAATTGTTATTGGAACACTATTATAGAACCAGAAATTTCATGATTGGATAAAGACTTGACAATTTTCCTTACAATGAAATTACCGATAACACCTAGGGCTCCTCCTATAATCAAATACTGAAATAATATTCAAATATCCTCCAGTATCTTTGATTTATAAAGGATTTTGAAAATTATGCAATATACCGATGTTGTATTCGTAGACTACTTCGGTATTATTTTTTATCCTCGTGGTGCCAAATCCAAAACTAGTTATGTTTTGTTTTATCTCCACTGTCCTATGTGAGGATAATAAAGTTTATCTTATAATTTATAAAGTGGGTATGTTTAAAGACAAAGTTATATAAATACTCAACCCACGTAAACTCCCGAAGAGTCACGAAATTATTGTATAAAATATTACCTATAGTGAGAATCTTGAAGATTCTATTATATCTCCTCACTACATCTTCTGAAACAATAATTTTATAGAATTTGAAGATTGTTATCTTCAGGGGGAGACGGAAAGTACATTCACTCAAATCAATTTCGTAGATTGGGTCTTAAAAGACTAATAGTTGTACTTTTTGCAACATATACATACCATGTACTCTTTTTCTCACTAGGTTTTTTTCCCATCGAGTTTTTCTAGTGTGGTTTTTAACGAGGCATGGGTATGATATAATAATGTCAATGTGAAAAAGTTGCAAAATAAATGCTTAAAGTAGACAAACCCCAAAACTCTGAAGATTATGCCTTGAAGGCTTATGGTTGTACTCTTTTTCCCTTAACTAAGTTTATCCCACAGTGTTTTCTTAAGTTTTTAATAAGGCAATCAGTACCATATATGATTTTCTTCAACTAGGTTTTTCCCACGTGGTTTTCCTAGTGAAGTTTTTAATGAGGCATGAAGGTATTCAAATGTATACTATTCATATACCTTGTACTATTTTCTTGTCTAAGTTTTTCCTACTGGATTTTCTTAAAAAGTTTTAAATGCTTGTCTAAGGGGGGTGTATTCAATCATGACTTTTGTAGTGTTTTAAAAACTTTTAAAATGATAGATTTTAATAAACTTTGATTGACTTTCATAGAGTCGTTCAAAACTTTTTAAAACTTTATAAGACTCTATAAAAGTCTATATAAAAAACATTCATAGACTTTTATCAACTTTTTATTTTAAAAAGTTTACAAAAGTCATTGAAATTCTAAATTGAATACATCCTTACAAACTTTCAATGATTTTGATTCTTATCATTTATAATTTTCTTACAAACCATTTATAATATATCATAAAATTTTCTTATTATGTAATTCTTCACCCACATCAACATTCTCAACATTATTAATTTATCCATAGTATGTTGAGACTTATATGCTAATTACTTATATATATTATTAATAAACATAAAAAAAATTATTTCATTAGAAATTCATAACAATATTGAATAAGAAAATTTATAATAAAAGAATTGATCAAATAAAATATTTAAAAATATAATTACAAGTTGCATAAAATAAAAAGAATAAAAATATAATATTCATAATATATATATAAAAAAAATTATACTTGATATATTGCTAGGCATCACGCAAATAACTATTATTTGCAATAGCAATTTGAGACTGCGAACAACAACAATGTGTTACTGTTTGCAACCCCAAATTGTTGTTGCGAACAGTAGTTCGCTATTCGTAGTAACTTCTTGTTAAAAAAATGAAAAATATATATTACGAATATAAACATAAAAAGAATAAAAATCAAAATATATAAGTATTTATATGAATATTATGAAACATATACTAAAATTTGATGATGAAAAAATTGCTTTGTTCATGTATTTAGGGAGAATTAGAGAAAGTTAGGGATAAAAAATTCATAGAAAAAAAATAAAAATCAATATAAACAAGCAGTAAAAAATAGAGAGAGAAAAAAAATTGGTAGAGTTTAGGTATGAGGAAAATATAGGATAATGAAGTAAAAAATAATTTTATTAAATTTAGATAGGTTTATAAAGTTTAAATTGGGAGAAAAAGTAGAGTTTAAATAGAGAGAGAAAACATTCAAAGTTGTTAGAAAGAAAATTTTGAAATCTGGGGGTTGATGGTTGGATTTCAACTATTTATATTTGAGAAGAAAAAGTCTACAAAAGTCTTAAAATTAAAAAGTCTTCAAAAGTTCATAACTTTTTGAATACCACGTGACTTTTAAACACTCTCTAAAACTCTTAATCGTACCACACGACTTTTAAAGACCCTTTAAAAATCTTGATTGAATACCGCCTGACTTTTAAAACTCTCTAAAAGTTTGAATTGAATACCCCCAAACTTTTAAAGTTCATAAAAGTCTTTAAAACTCTATATGAAAGTCATGCATGATTGAATACACCCTCTCCTAAGTTTTTCCCTGAGTTTTCCTAAAAAGTTTTTAATGTTTGTCTAAGTTTTTCCCACTGGGTTTTCCTACTTAAACAAGACAAGATCATAGTCAAATAATGTCTAAGGGGAAGTGGTATAAATATATATGCTTGACATTATTATGTAACATACATATTTATGTCCCCATTTATGATTTCCGTTATATGTATCATGTATAATGTACTTGAGGATGATGAATGGAAATTGTTGTCACTTTCTCTCTACATTATCTTTGTGTTCTTTTCGTTTGAATTGTTTCTATTATGAATGCAATCCGTTTCTCCGGTGAGGCTACAACCTAAAGGCTATGATCACAACATGTTTATAAATTTTGACAAATCACATTATCTAATGCACTATTTAGTGCATACATCATTTTTCACAATGTAGCTACAATTATTATTAATGAATAAATATTTTCTTTATGTTATTGCCCAAACAACACTAGTGGAAATTATGGAATTTCCGACCACCTGAAAGTAATCTTAAATCAAGTCAAAAGCCTTGTTCCGACCACTTTTGGTATCCGGAAAAACCTTTGTTGCTATTTCCGACCACTTTTTGGACTTTTTGGTATCAACTTAATTTAAGATCATTTTCAGGTGGTCGGAAATTCCATAATTTCCAATAGTGCAAGGTGACAATTCTTTGAATTAAATTAACCAATTTCTTTTCAAAGCTTTAATGATTTAAGTATGTATAAATAATCTTAGAAGCCATCCAATCTATATACAGTCATAAAATATCTATCTATTTTTAATTATAAACAAATTCTATGCTTTATTTGCAAGAATGACTAATTAACGAAAAAGATATGTTAGCCTTTTAGCAAGCATATTAAAGCATAGAGAGGCTGCAACTGTAACTTGTGCAATAAAACAGAAGAGTATAGTGCAGCTAACCAACATCCAAATCAGCAGAAGGATTCACCAAGGAGCTAAGCAATATGAAAAATTGCTGTCTTATCTGATTGAAAAAGGGCAAAACTCAAATCCTACACCAAGCTTAACACTAGATAGGATGAAATCCTACTCATGTCAACATTCTAGCATCTCCAACAACTTGAGTTTTTTGTCAGTTTTCTTGTGCTACATAGGAGGGAGAAGAGGATGAAAAATAGGAAAAAGAATGCAAAATAAGGAAAACTGCAAAAAAAAAAAAAAAAAAAAAAAAAAAAGATGTTTAATGCGCCCAAAGGGAGCCTGTAGTGCACAGCGCACTGAGCGTACCTGGTGCGCCAAAGGAAACTATTTTTCTTTTTTCCTCTTATTGTAGACCCCACAAAAAACTTCATCCGGCAAAAAAAAAAATCTTCTCTCCTCCATTCTCTTCTCTCTACAACACCCTCTCTATCATCGAAATAAACAAAAAACTTGTAAAAAACCTCTAATGGAGATGCTCTTATAGCTTTTATACCATCTCGAATTGTAGTTAGAATGAGGCAAATATCAATAAAAAGAGATGATGAATGGAGAAGATGGAGTAGGAAGAAATAGAGAGAAAAGCCAAGAACATGTATTATAAGTTTCTCTGTCTACATACAATCCTATTTATATAAAAAGGAATTGAGAGTTTGTTACATGCACTAAACTAATAAAGTTGAGGCCAAGAAATTAACACTAACAACTTCTAACTCATCTAACCTCTCTCTTCCTACTCCATCTTTTCATTCTTCCTCTTCTTTTCATTCATTGATGGTTGCCTCATCCTACCTGCAATTTCGAGAAAACATCTAGCCCAATCGTACTAATTTGTCCAAGGGCCATCTAATTACAAACCTAAGATGTAATGAGTGTGATAAAGTACATTTTTTGAGAGCCAAAAAGTAAAATCATGTAAAGTTAAAATTAGAAAAAACTAATTTTGGTATGAAATTGTCAAATTTTTAAAATTTAAATGTAACTATCACAAATATTTTAAAAAAAATTCATCAATAAACCTTTACTTTATAAATCAAATGCCAAATTTGAGATCCTATAGAGTATAATTATCATATTGGCAATACCACAGAGAGAAGGGCATGGTTCACAATAGCACCTGTAATCTAGATGCTGCTGATATAACTAAAACGCCAATGCTGAATTTCAAAACATCTCAGCTGAAACCAAAGACAGAAGAAAGATGGCTAGTTTTAGAAGTGCAATGGACAAAAAGAACTTTCTAACAACCCTCTTATCTCTAAAACTTGAGTTGCATAGAAACATTATTTGCCACAAACAGCCGGCAGACCTAATAGTGTTGCCTAAAGCAACAGCAAGAAAACAATAGATGATTTCTAATCATCTGGGCGGCGGAAAAAGAAGAATGCCAATTATTAATCATCAAAATCATTTGTTCCCAGAGATGGCACATCATGGGAATGTCCTTTGGTAAAGAGGCAATGCTCCTAAAGCTGTCCGTTCTGCTCTCTCTTTCTCTACCTGCAAGAGCACAGTTTTCTAGTCTAGTGAATACAAACAAATGAAGAAAAAGGAAGAGAATAAGCAAAACCTCAAGGTGACTGTTTAGGTCCTGCAAGGTCCTTTTAAATTCAATATATATATCTAGGCTGCGTTTTGACACTACTCGATCATGCCACGTAAATTAAAGAAATAGATAGGTATAGTATAAGAAAAAGAAATTTCTTCAAAAAGTTAAGTCAAATGCTCCTAGACATGTCAAAACAAAGTATGTACTTTGCATAAGATGGTATGAAGCCTTGAGCCTTGATGAGTGTCAAAATTAGGGGACAAAAAAAATACTCCATATTAAAGACCAGAGACAGAAGCACAAGGGTCTACACTCTATAGCCAGAAAGTGGGAGTGAAATGAACTGTCAAATTTTTGTCATAATAACCTCTCATAAAGGTAATTCTTGCTCTTATCAGGCAATAAGAGAAGCAGTCTTCCAGTGAAGAAATGAGGTCTGTCATTGGGGCATGCCCTTTATGAAAAGTCCATGAAACCTTTTTTTTTTTTTTTTGGCTTGCTGCAGTAATAAATGTCTCCATACCCAACAGATGATAACAAACATTATTAAGCATTCTCAACAAAGATTCAATGTAGCTTGTATGCTCTTAACTAAATTATGTCAAAACATCATATTTCATATACTTGTTTTCAAGAATCCTCATAATATCCACACAGTTGAATTTAACATCTGTAAACTTCAAATAAAAGAATTTTAGGCTTAACATTTTGAACTTTGCCCAAGAGAATGTATAATTCCAAATGCAAAGTCAAGCAAAAAGTGGAAATCAATATGCACAGACCAAATACTCAGATTGAAACAAGAACTTACGAGATCCACCATTTCATGCAGATAACTTCTAAATGGCGTCTGCATTTTCTGAAAACATGATATACACCCAGTCAGCTCAAATAACATCACGATCAGAGATGTTTATATATATTATATATTAATTTACTGCAAATTCTTTATCTTTCCTTCCATTTAAATCCCAATTCATTCGGATCACACATTAAAATCATTTTCACGCTTCATCTATGTCGCCGTTCACACGCAAAACACACACACATTCAGCAGAAAGTATTAGTCACACGAAAAAAATTCAACCTGAAGATCATCAGGGAGGTACTCATGCTTCATTGAGAGATCTATAGCACGTTTGAGACGCTGGTTCCGAGCATCGATAACTTCTTGAGGTAGCCGTTCCATAGCCTCCTTGATGTCCAAATGCTCCTTCGGATCAAACAAATCATCGTATCTCAAACCTAATTTCAGATAAGAAAAACTTCATGATAATGGACAGAAAATGTGAGCAGAGCAAGAGAAGGGAAGAGAAATAATCACCGTATTTTCGGAGGCGGTTGGAGATAGCTTTCATATGCTGTGCGGCGAACCAATTCTTCGAGGGGTTCAACAGCGATTGAATCCACGACGGCGACGCCATTTCCTCCTACGTGCACTTCAAAATCCAAGAAAATCCCGGCGGGCTTTAAAGTTTATTTTGTCTGTAGTCTAACAATCCAAGAGCGATAGAAACGGTCAAGGATTGAAAATTTACGCACTTTGATGGCCAAGCTGGAATCAAATAGGCCTGGCAAACTGCAAATGTTAATGGGGCAAATTTTACTGTGGACCACACAATTGTGTGGACAAATATTCAAAATGGTGTCGTTTTTTTAATGAAAAAAAAAAAAACCGACACATGTTCGTGTATAATATATTCAGTTTCATTTTATATACATTGTAGTTTCATTTCGACACAACTAAGGTTCCATTTTGTTTCAAATATAGTTTAATTTGACATTATAAATACAATAGTCTTATTACAGTGAGACCTGTGATTGAATTTTATTTTATACACACTGTAGTCTTATTACAACACCACTAAATTATAATTCTAATTCAACTACGGTTTCATTTGACAATATACACTCAAATATGTGAAACTGTTATTCAGTTTCATTTTATATACATTGTAGTTTCATTACGATACAACTAAAATAACATTTTGATATAATTACAGTTTCATTTGACAATATACACTCAATATGTGAGACATGTTATTCAATTTTTTTTATACACACTGTAGTTTCATTTCAACAAAATTAAAGTATCATTTAAGTTCAACTACAGTTTTATTTGACAATATACACTCAATATGTGAGACATGTTATTCAGTTTTATTTTATACATACTGCAGTTTCATTTCAACACAACTAAAGTATAATTTCAATTCAATGACAGTTTTATTTGATAATATAAATACAATATGCGAGACAAGTTATTTAGTTTCATTTTAGATATATTGTAGTTTCATTTTATTTTGAATACACCAAAAATACAGAATTTGTTAAAATTTTACGGCTGCTGTTACTTTACTTAAAAAAACGACGTCGTTCTCGGACCATGGTCTACAGTATAACGACCAATTTTACTGTGGACCATGATCTATGTAGCAGGGTGGACCATGGAGTATGTATCATTTTAATTACACATTCAGTTTCATTTGACAATATTGCTATGCTTTTTAGTTTCATTTTCCATCCACACTAGTTTCATTATAGCAATACTAAAGTATCATTTTAATTCTACTATAGTTTCATTTGAATATTTTATAATATACATTATTGCTTGAGCTCGATCTATTTTTGTTGTTTCATTTTTCACACACACTACTTTAATTATAGTAATGTTAAAGTATTATTTTAATTGTACTTCAAGTCATTTGACAATATATGTTATTGTATGGCTCTGAATTTTAGTTTCATTTTTCACGCACACTAGTTTCATTATAGCAATACTAAAGTATTATTTTAATTATACAACAATTTCATTTGACGATAATGTGTTCTGTATTTTAATTTCATTTTTCACACACACTAATTTCACTATAGTAACGCTAAAGTGTTAAGAATAAATTGTAAGATTTTGATGAGTCAAATGTATTTTTGAAAAACTAGTATTCCCCAATTTTATTTGAGTCAGTAGCAGTCCATGCATGCAAGTTGCGTCCATGCAAAAATGTTCACGTCAAACAGTTAAGTTTTGAAGTGCATATCTTATTTGAGAAGACTTAAGCGGGAAGATACTTAAAATATTTTGGAGCACATAGTTCACCAAAGGTTGAGCTAGCATAGTTGGATGAAGATTTAGTGTTAAGTAAGTCACATGATCTGTGGTTTGATTCCTTTTTAAAGCATTTTTGGAGTTCACTAGACGAGGTAGCCACAAGACAAAGACGAGTTACCACAAGACGATGCACCACTAAGCAATGCGTGGATGTTTCTGTGACCACCCCACACACGTGGGTTGGGTGCGTGGACTTTTCTGTATCAAATCCTCCCACGCATGTGGATCCTACTGCTTCCATTCTCTTACAAATTGCCTCCCCTTTTTGACATTTTCGGCTTTTTAGTGACTTTCCCTACAATTGTGACCACCCTACACACGTGGGTTGGGTGCGTGGACTTTTCTGTGTCCAATCCTCCCACGCACGTGGATCCTACTGCTTCCATTCTCTTACAAATTGCCTCCCCTTTTTGACATTTCCGGCTTCTTAGTGATTGTCCCTACAATTGTTAGCTCAAGTACAAAAATACCGAAAACACAATTCAAGCACACAATTAAAAACGAAACACATATTTTTGTCATTTTTTTCATTTTATGATTTTTTTTTTCATTTTTTTCAAAATTTGCTTCAGTTGTCTCCCAAGAAGCGCAATGTTTTACATCTTTGGCTAGACAAAACGTGTGTTACACATCAAAATACATAAAAAGGGGGGTCGGGCCATGCGTCCCGTCCACCTTAGCATTGAGATATGCCCCAACATGCCGTGCATTCTTAAACACATAAGCAAAATAAATGTGCACAATTTTATTCAAGATCATGCAAGGGAATGCATAAGGAAATAAGCTCTCTCCCACAAAAATATTGTGCCCTTTCTCTCTTATTTTTCCTTCCTGTCCACCCTCATTATATTTCTCCTTTCATGCACTTATGTCAACAAACACCACAAAGTTATTTTCATTTTCTACCATTTTACTCTTTTCCACACTTTGATCTTCAACACCACCATTTTGCATCTCATCTACATCATTTTCACTCATCTCACCCCCAACACTGTTGCCAAAAGTGACAACTTCACAACTTTAATTTGCACACCACCCTTATCAACACAATCAATATTCTCCTCATCCCCCCACCCAAAATCCTCACAATAATAAAATTCATCACAAGAATGAGAAGAGATAGTATCACAACCGCCAATAGAATCATCCTCCCAAGAATCACAATAAACATTATTAAAAGCATTAAGCACATTATTGCAAGAATCAAAGGAGTCATCCTCAGAAGCATGAAACGAAATATTGTCACAATCACCAATTGTACCCATAGAATCAATATCACTAGTATCTAAGGAATCATCCCCCAAAACATCAAGAGAAATATCAACAAAAAATCAATAGAATAATCAAGGGGGTCATCCTCACCAATTGTACCCATAGAAACGAAATATTGTCACAATCACCAATTGTACCCATAGAATCAATATCACTAGTATCTAAGGAATCATCTCCCAAAACATCAATAGAAATATCAACAAAAGAATCAATAGAATAATCAAGGGGGTGGGTCATCCTCACACGGGGCACAAATATGATCATGACAAGATTTAGCACATATATCATCAAATGGAATGACACAAGTAGAGTCAAGAATGTTACCACATGTAGTGTCACCATTTGGCTTCTCATCTTCCCACACAACCTCAATATCATCATCACTCTCACTAGCTTCCTCCACCCCTTTTTGATCTTCCAATTCATGAATTGGAATCTCTTCAAGAATGGGGGTGTCATCTAGCAAGGGATCATCCTCGGCCCTCTTTAGTTCAACATTCCTTGAAGCATTAGCTTGGGCCTCCATCTCAAATTTTATGGTGAGCTCTTTCATCAAGTGGCAAAAGTTTTCCTCCAACCGTTTCGATGAGGGTAGCATATCATTCTCCCGGAAGGTCCTTAACTCCTCTTCTAGTATTTCCCTGATTTCGGCTTTGAGTTTGATCAATCCTTCCTTTTCCTTGTGTATGATCTTTAGCCACTTCCGCTCTAAGCGTGCAAGCTCATAACTAAGGTGTGGTGGGTTCTCATAAGGTGGTTCATTCCAATGTGAGTGATTGTATGGCTCATAGGATGTTCTTTCAACATCATGCCATTGGGTGGGTACTTGAAGTGTGTTTTCGGGTGGGTAAATATGTTGGGGTTCGTGTGAATATATAGTTTTGACTCTTTCAAATTGGTTTGGTGGTGGTGGTGGATGGTGAAATGGAAATGGTGGATATGGTGGGTGATAGTGAAATGGAAAGTGTGGTGGGTAGTGAGGTGGAAAGTGTGGTGGATAATGGTATGCATAAGGGCTGTAATGGGCATGTTGTCCAAAAGTGCAAGGTGGAGAATGACTCAACGATACTTCTTCACCGAGTGGACATCCATAAGGATATGCATCCTTATTCATTGGTGAGCTCGTTTGGATATGATTTTGAAAAATTTCCTACACAAAAGCTTCACCAAACAAGTATACTTGCAACTAGAAGTAGTTGCAAGGTGAGCAAATATGATATGCAAGGTAATGGTGCTCACTCCCAAGTCAAATAGCAAAACAAGATATGTACAAAAATAAGACAAAACAATGAAATGAATGGGCAACCTAGAACTCTTATCAATACACCACTAGATGTCAAAGTAAACGCACTCTACTTAGCAACTATTGTCATCCCCGGCAACGACGCCATTTTGACAAGTGTAGAAAGTGGTGGATGGTAATGAAGGTTGGGAATGAAGATTTCCGGGGATGTCGATCTCAAGGATGGCAAATCGGAGTAAATGGAGTGCAAGACAATCCCATGAAATGTATTAACAAGAGTACTAGATGCAAGAGAAGAATGTGTAAGAAAGCATGTACATCGGGAGAGAAAAGAATGAGGAAAGAATGAAAATACAATAACCAAATGTAAAACGAGGAATTGTGTTGGTCCCAAAAGAGGTAAGGTGAAAGTCTAGAGGGGGGGGGGGGGTGAATAGACTTTCAAACTTTTTAGCACAGTACAACAATTGCTAAGGCAACAGAGAAACCAAGACTCTTAACTAGATTGTTAGAGTCCGGTGCACAGTGGAAATAATAAACGATACGGTGTGTGTGTATATTGTATCAAGATTATTCTCATGAGAAGCAAGCAAGAGCAGTAAGTAAAGAAAGTGGTAAAGAACACAAGGCAATTTATAGTGGTTCGGAGGTGGTGTAATCCTCATACTCCACTTGCTCTTATCTCCAAGAGCAATTCACTATATCCACCACTTCTTGGTTCCAAGATACAATGAATTTCGTGATCTAGTGCTTTGATCACCAAGCCCACACTAATCACGCCCAGTGCCACCAACACTGCTGCTTCAGGTTTCACGTCGCCGCGTTACTTTCCCAGGATTTCACGACTCCGCGTTACTTTCCCCCCGTCTTCTACGCTCCGGTAGAAACGCTTCTACGATT